AGCTACAGCTCTACTAGACTCCCCCGTCATTTGCAAGCCAATATTCATGCCCAAATCGGAGATTTCATGAAGGTGATGACCGCAAGTATCCACTGTCTGATCGGCTTACTGATAGACTTTTCAAGTGACCACCATTGACCACAGTCGGACGGCTGACTTTATGAATGTGTTTACCGTTAGCGCGCTTCCCATCGGAATCTGACAATCAGCGTGTATTAACAGCGGGTTATTCTGATATGGCGATTGTTATGGTGATGCGAGGAAACCAGTAATTATGTCCACCGCCCTGCCCAGATGCTGTCCAACACATAGCGACCGGCGCCATCTACTGTCAATTTCCTTGCACAAACATTAAGAACAAATCCTACACGGCGTTAATGCGAGCAACACCGCGAGCAGACAGTTACGACGTGTGATCATACAGCGCAGATTATTGAATACATATTGGCCGGCTCATTCAGCCGCGAATGGTCATTGACAAGCTTGTTTGCTGTAGCCAAGCCGTCAAGTGGCACTCTTCAAGTTATCGCTGTTAGTGAGATGGGATGAGGGTTGGCTTGTCACAGTGTTGACAACGACCACGTGATCTGTCAATCACGTGACGGTCCGCGGGTAGCGAAAGGGAACAGCGGGTGGAGCAGTTACTATGTACAGCTTTTCACTTCTATGTAATCTGAGTTTTGTAGCGTTTGGTTTCGACGGCATTATTTTCTTACCCACTAAAACCGTGTAAAGGCAAAAAAATATGTTTATTTAAGAAAATATTTTTTTGGAAAAAAGTTATAAATATCGGTCAGATGCGTGAGTATGAGTAATTGAGTCAAAGTACCCATAAAATATGAAATATTCGTAAAAATGTTTGTTTATTTGTTGTATTCGGCGAATGTCTGTTTTCCTTACACAGAAACCGTATAACGGGTAATAAACCTCATGCACACCGGGTGTCCCACGCCGTGATGTCTGTGGAATACTGCTAAAAGCGGCGTAAAACCATACTAACTCACTCACTCATGCACCCCAGCTATTTATTATTCAAACGGTCAACATCTTCATTTTCTTTTGAAATGTTTTAGAATATCAGTGAACTTGAAATGAAACGTTTGCGTGACCCGGATAACCGCTTTCACGCAAGGTCAAAGGCGACACAATCCGACTGCAGCAGACTAAACATGAACTAGAAACCTCATGAAATTAGCGATACCTTACATGGCTGACGTCATCGGTGTAATGGTTATTTTTGTGCCAAGGTTTTATTGAAAGGTACTAAATATCTTATTTATTGCTCAAAATTGACGGTTTACACATCATTTACAAAACACCGTCGGGAATGCACATTATATACATGTCAGAATAGATTGTAAATGCCTTCACGCAATGTACAATAATCAGCGGCATCGCGAGAAGGCCCCCTGTCCCCCGGGTTCTCTGTTCATCTATACGTTATAGTCAGAATATAGAAATTTGGACATTGGCATTAACTAAAACGGTCAAATTAATTTCGCATCAACGTCTGACAGACAAAATTTGACAAATTTGTCCCAGTTCATTCGATATTCTATTGTATGATACTGCATGAATAATTCAAAGGTGTAATTATGATATCGAAATAAACAGCTCTTTCAGTAAATCAAATTATTGCGCAACAGCGAGAACATTTAATTTTCATGATAATTCCTAATAGGGCTTAGGTCCTGAAATAGAGGCTGCAACTGTTCACCAATTATACTGCATGGATTCAATTATCGTGCCGTGTGTAACGCGCTCATTCGGGGGGAGGGTGGCATGTAGACGAGAGCGGAGTCCCCTGGGTGGGGTATAACGGTTATGTGCACTAATTAGCCGAGCATAGAGAAGCAGCTAGCGCGAAACAGAGACAGAACCAGTTTAATTGGTGGAGAATACTGGGTAGCTGACTTTCACGGGTCAGCGTTTTTGGTGACTGAGGGATTGACTGACAACTTGGGGGCGGGTATCTCGACTTGTAAGGGGGTAAGCGGACGTCGGGGTTAGGTCTGAAAGCGTGTTAAGCGAAGTTTATCCAACTAAACATCGATACTATGCTGTAGGGTTAATGTCGAGTGCAAATAGGGTCACAGCCTCTGTTCGGATGGTGTTTGGGGATATAGAGGGATATGAGCGAGAAGAAATTGTGTTTTTTGTTCCATTTTAACGTGATTGCGTGAGTGAGTTGGGCTTGGCGTCACTTTGAATAATGATTGAGTTTTATCACGATGTTTCGGATCCTTGCTTGTCTAAGGGGCGCAACTATTTACAGCGAATTCAGCGCCTTAGACCACTGTGCATACTGTTTAAAAAACCAAGGACGATAAACAGCGTATCTGGGATTCGAACCAACGAACAAACATTGTCAAACATTTATTACGTCTGTTTGAGGAGTGTTGACAAAGGTTGCATCCCTGGCATGGCTGACGACTTGAAGGTAAAGGCATACTCTGTTATCCAGTGTATTGTGTAACAATACAATGGGTAATCGAGGATGGAGAAATGGATCGCGGTATGTGAATAAGCTGAAAATGTATATGCATTTATAAATATTCAGTATGCTCAGCATTAACAACTTGATTTCAAACTATTTCGTAAACATCTGTAAATTCAAACCAGCTCGAGGCTTGAGGTATTATTCCTGTTATATATCAAAAGATAATTTAACAGAAAACAACTTTAATTTTAGAGGCAAAGCGTTAGTCAAGCTTTCAAACCTTTCACATTGAGACATTTGGAGTTCAATAAATATGTATGTATTTCCTAATAATCAAAGCGAAGAACTTTGACTACTTTTCTAACAATCTCCACTTATTAATTGTACGATACTGGAAACAGTCCGAATGGACTTTGTAGGCGAAACTCTAAACCCTTGAACATCGTACATACAGTTCCGCTCAGCACCTGCAGCCCCGAGAATATATATATAGGGAGACGAGAATAATGACTGGGCGTTAATTCAAGGGTATAGTTTATCTTATTTTGAAGTCAAATTTTCCATCGTCCCACCCGCCACTCAATAACGGTTGAATGGGATGCACGTGGTTGGAACGGCAAGTAGCATTTGCCTGTCAACTAGTATTAGGTTTTGAGAGAAAACTGCGAAGGTGTCAGTTGAATAGCTATCATATTTCCCCGTCCCACTAGTGCAGCCCCGTGGCTGCTTGTAATTGGCCTCTCGCGACATGAGGGGGCTGTTTGCTCCCCGCGTATGGGGGCTCTCCGGCCATGTCCGGAGCACGACAGGTCACGCATGGACAAATATTAGTCCGCATGGCGATGAGCTGTTGTAAATATGATCACAAACTTTCCGCAAACCTCTTGGGACGGTGGTCAAGAGATTTGGCAGCTTGCCCCCATCACCGCCCCGGGGTAGTCGTTGCTGGGGCAGAGGTCAGGGGCATTAATGGCGTCCTTAATAACAGATAAAGAGAGCGTGTATCTCATTCCAAGGAAACGGGATATGATGATGTGCCAATGGACGATCTCTGACTTAACTGAAACAACAGCCAATATGTTTAGAGATGCATATTGTGTCAACATTAAACATTTGATTGTAAGGAGTTAACTTTCCTCTGCCCGCTGTCGAATCAACAGTGCGTCACTATAACTGCCCCCATTGACTCAACAGTACGTCACTATAACTGCCCCCATTGACTCAACAGTCTCTGTGACTCTATCCGCCAAACATTTTGTTTCCTACCTGTATATGGGCATTTAAGGTCAGATGATACATCGTTATTATTCCATTTGCGAACAGTTGAAATTTTCATCATAGTTACGGGGGAGTACATTAAGGAAAAATATATATTACTGATACTACTTATAACAGCAACACTACTACTACTCTACTGCAACAACAACAACTACTACTACTACTACTACTACTACTACTACTACTACTACTACTACTACTACTACTACTACTACTACTACTACTACGACGACGACGACTACTACTACTACTACCTAATGTGGATGGCGACAGCGAAGAAGACAAATGATGAAGAAAAGCTAAGAGATGGCGATGATGATGATGATGATGATGATGATGATGATGATGACGACGACCTTCGAAAACCTGGGATGTTTTTCCCACATTATGAAAGTATTGTGGACACAAGTATATGAGGGAAGTTTGGCGGTCGGTTTTCTTGACTTAGTGAGTGCGTTTCCCCGCGTCTTTTCAGTGTATCTAAATATCTTCTTTAACTATGAATGAGTTATATACTAAGAATGAGCAAAACTATTATACTAAGAATGAGCTATACCATCATACTAAAATGAGTTATACTGCCATGCCAAGAATGAGCTAAACCATTTGACCAAGATTGAGTTATACCATTGTGACAAGAGTGATGTATACAATTATACTAAGAATGAGTTATACATCATTCTAAAATGAGTTAGACCATTATACTTAGTATGAGTTATACAATTCCAATAATGGTTCTACAATTATACCATATTCGGAGTTATATAATCATATAAAAAATGAGCTATAAAAAGAATACTGAGTCAACTACAAAGAAATGTTGGGGTCGAGACAACAAAACTGTCCACACTGTGTTGCAATGGAACATATTTCTTAAATGTTTCTCTTTACTTGTAAGCAGCAGGATCTTTGCACTTGTACACAGCAAACATAATTAAAAAATAACGTATCATTTTTATTACTTTCAACAAAATCAGTAAGTGCACTATCACTTTGTCACTGTGTTTTTTTGTTTAACTATCACTTGATTGTCTGGTTTGTTTTCAGGCCGCCGTCGCATGGCAGGTGTACTGCTGTAGATTACACCAAGAATGAGTGCTTCCATTACACTAAGAACGAGTTCTGTCAATACACTAAGAACGAGTTCTACCATTACACTTAGAATGAGTTCTACCCTTACACTAACAACGAGTTCTACCATTACACTAAGAATGAGTTCTACAATTACACTAAGAACGAGTTCTGTCAATACACTAAGAACGAGTTCTACCATTACACTTAGAACGAGTTCTACCATTACACTAAGAATGAGTTCTACAATTACACTAAGAACGAATTCTACAATTACACTAAGAACGAGTTCTACAATTACACTAAGAACGAGTTCTACCCTTACACTAAGAACGAGTTCTACCCTTACACTAAGAACGAGTTCTACCCTTATACTAAGAACGGGTTCTACCATTACATCAAGAACGAGTTCTACCATTACCTTAAGAACGAGTTCTATCAGTACACTAAAAATGAGTTTTACCATCACAATAAGAACGAGTTCTATCAATGCACTAAGAACGAGTTCTACCATTACACTAAGAATGTGTTCTATCAAAGCACTAAGAACGTGTTCTACCAATTCACTGAGAACGAGTTCTACCATTACACCCAATTTCATCCAAGAGCAAGGATAGAACCAAGTCAAACCCTGAAGTGTTGATCACCGTAACCCACGAATGAAACAAAAGGGGTCATAAAAAAACAAAGAAAAGTCCAATATTAATGAAGAGGGCCACGATTGGACAGACACCCTGAAGGTGTTAGACGTTTTGAGTTCAATTACAACAATATCCATTCTTTTTTGGGAAACTGAAATTCAACCATTGCAAATTAGTTACCGTTTCCAGATCAGCTGGAAGGTGGCCGAGTTAATATCCTATCTGAGTCTTAATTAGTTGTTGAGAAAATAATACCGTTCCCTAAAAATGAACAGATCATGAAAACTCGGTCCGGACAACAACGAGGGTTTATCAAAATTGGTGTTTACCATTTGGTGTTGTATTAAAATTAGTGACGTCTTATTAGTTCTGGCTACCAGTCGTTGGACGGAATCACTCGCACGGATCTAATACACAAGGCTACATTCTAATTAAAACAATCCCCCTGCTCACCAATTTCACTGAGCTTAGTAGACGGAGAAGCATACCGAAATATGATTTTCGGGCGTTTTATTTGATTCTTAATGTCGGTTATTACCTGGAAGAAATGAGAATGTCACAAAAAAACATTCATAATGATTCAGAGATCTCATAAAGACAAATGAAGAAAATGGATTTGGTTATAGGGTGTCGCTCTTTGAATGTCTTTGCCAATAGGTTGTCAAGGAGAAATAACGACTTTGCTGACCAAAAAAAAAAGTTTATTATCAGCGTATTAATACTGACATACGCGGCCATTTCCCTTTTCAGTCGATGATTTATTACCGTTTACGTTAAAAAAAACATTGGCGTGTCATTATCATAATCAGAATTTACTTATAAGACAAATGAAGGTAAGAAGGATTTGCAGAATTCTTCAAGTCTTGCCCTCTTTAGTGTACATTTGTTTTGTTAAAATTTGGCCTATACGTATAAAGATGGTCTCCCGACCCCGAATGTGTCTCCAAAAAGCACTTAATCCCTCTAAAGCCCAATTTATTTGAACATTTATTTTATTCCGTTTGGCTTAGTGGTGGGTTATGGTAGAAAGCTTTCATGTAGGGCCCCACCGGAAAGTAGCTAACTGAATAACGATACTCGGGCGGATCTGGTGGAAACTGTGTTGATTTCACAGGCTGTTGTGTTTTATTGGGGATTTACCCACGTTGTGATCAAGCTATCCCCCCTGTAAACTTCACCCCTCCCGAGTGCCATGCTCGTCGAGGTGCCCAAACAACGGTAGGTTAGCAGCCCTCGTTCCCTGACTGAATTTGTAAGTAGCTGACGCTGAGCGTGAGTTTATCAGTAAGTGCCAACTGGTTCGGAGTGACAGTGTTGGGGTGGTACTCCATAGGGATTCAGCAGGTGCGACTCACTCACGCATTGGATGAGGAAGTATGAAACATATGCGCATCATGTTCACAGAACATACGAAATATAACATGTATATTAGATTGTGTATGTCAGATTAAAGAGGGTTGTTTTCCACATTCTGGAGCTCATTTCCAGTCTATGTCTAGACGTTTTAATTAAGACAATTGTATAAAACTGAGACATTCTGTCTAATTAGGGATAGCATTAACTACGAGACTGATTTATCATATCATTGCAAGTTGGCTCGAGTTAAACCCGAGAGAGTTCTCTATGTTAGTACGTGATGAACGGTCCTATCAAGGTATTTTAAAAATTATATTCACCATATCAACATATTTATAAAATTGATTTTTAGTTACAAATACAGTAAACTACGGTTATAACGAACACGCTTATTACGAACTGACGGATATAACGAACTTACTTTTTTGTCCCGACTATTTGCTGTAGTTATGCTGTATATATGCTTATAACGAACTACGGTTATAACGAACTAAAATTAGTAGTCCCTTTGAGTTCGTTATAACCGTAGTTAACAGTACATGCAAACAATGTGCGAAGTGAAAACATCTGTTAAAGTGGCATTACAAATACGTCTACTGTAAATATACGTCAACGCCAGAGAATAACCATTGTCGATTATCCATGGAAATACATGTAGATTCCATTGAGTTTAAAAGGCGGTGACAATTATATGAATGGATCACTGAAAATCGGGGATGACACCAGGTGTTCGCGAAAAGGGTAAACGTGCCCTGCCCTACCGGTAGCACCGAACTCTCACACAACATTAAAAACACAATCTAATTATTTAAAAAAAATAAACTAATAAATAAATACCTCATGTTGTCACATACCGATCCTGGTGTGAATATTTTGCATGCACATTATCGACCCTAATATCGCCAACCAAATCCACACCAGGTACCTCCCCGGGTAAAAAAACACAACGCAAAGCCCTTTAAAACGAAACGACGGTTGTCTTCAATAGATTATTAACTGCAACACGCCGTAATGGGACGTGTTTGTATATATTGTCATTGATATCTGGTTGTTCGTAAATGCCTTGTGTCGAAGCAATCTATTTGGATTATAGTGTCGGATATTTTGTAATTGGAGGATTTTTTTCTCTCACTCCGGCAAATTATAACCTGATGTATGTGACAGGACGGAATAGTGAATAATCATCTCGAAATAACCTGTGTCCGAGGAAGTTATACCGTGCACGTCCTGCGCTCTTTCATCTTGTCTCCTTCACTAATTTATCCTGGCTGTTGGATTTCGTACACCGCTTGATTGTATGTTACGGATGTAGGTATATTGCCCGCTAGTCATACACTACACAGCCAGGCACAACAAGAACTGCCACCGTGACGTCATCGTGACAACGCCGCTGAGAATGAAGAACAACAATTACATCAACAATTAAATATACAGTGAGTGAGTGAGTATGGTTTTACGCCGCTTTTAGCAACATTCCAGCAATATCACGGCGGGGGACACCGGAAATGGGCTTCACACATTGTACCCATGTCGGGAATCGAACCCGGGTCTTCGGCGTGACGAGCGAACGCTTTAACCACGAGGCTACCCGACCGCCCAATTACATCTACAATAACATATAACGTACATATATTATTAATATGGTCATTATCATTATGATAACAGTGATACCGATTATGGCAGCGACACTAGCGACAACATTATTCAGGATGATGATACCGATATGACAGACATAATAGCTACACCATTATTACAATTAGGTAATTCGGGTAGGGAATCGTGCTTTAAAAAGCGACAAAATAGAAATAATAAATTAAAAATATTAATTATAAAATATATAAAATTAAAAAACATTTAAGTTTTTGGCTTGGCCAAACTTTGAACGGCAAGGATGATAACAAAAGGTAAGAATGCCAGTCTCTCTTACAGACCCGTGAGTGAGTGAGTGAGTGAGTGAGTGAGTGAGTGAGTGAGTGAGTGAGTTTGATTTTACGCCGCTTTTAGCAATATTCCAGCAATATCACGGCGGGGGACACCGGAAATGGGCTTCACACATTGTACCCATGTCGGCAATTGAACCCGGGTCTTCGGCGTGAAGAGCGAATACAGACCCAAGAACATGTTATTTAATAAAACAGTCCCCCCCCCCCCCCCCCCCACACACGCCCTTATTCCCCACGTACCATTTTCAGCCCTTCACAACCCCATAGCAGCTTTTATTCAGCCATTTCAGCTCGGAAATTAAGATGGTTCGTTATACTCGAGGTTTCCTTAATAAGAATTATTCTAATCTAACCTCATAGGTAACTTCATTTCGGAGACTATATGTTAGTCTAAACAGGATGGGGATCATGACTGACCTGATCAACGAAACAGATAAATAAAGATAGGATTAGGGTGGGGGTTATTCTACAACAAAAACATATTAGAGAAATAACCACGACAATGAGGATGCTACTATATAGAATTTGAAGAACAATAAAACTAAATTTACAGTGATATTTATGATTATCAATATGATGTTTATCATCATCATCATCATCATCATCATCATCATCATCATCATCATCGATTGCCCTGGGAAACGTAATTTGAAGCAAAGTTCTATCCAGGATATATCTTTCCTTGTTTCAGTTAGTTTGACTTGGAACGGTTTTTCTTTATGGTGTTCCTCTATTATTATTTTTATAATTATTATTATTATTTACAAATTAAATTTTTAAAAATGCAGCAAAGAGGGTTTGGATGATCCTGGCACAATCAGGCTGGTTACTACTACTACTGCTACTACTACTACTACTACTACTACTACTACTACTACTACTATAAGACGTTTTAAAAAACTTGAAAAAAACTGAAAAAAACGAAAGTTCAAAAGCTTTATTCCTCCCTTTGAAATATATACAGAACTGAATTATGTAAAAAGCTTTCAAGATTTGCTAACAGGGCCGCATCTCCACCAGGAATACGCTTGCTGCACACAATGACACAATACCAGCATCGTTGTGGAAGTCTGGACAATGGCATGTTGGGGACCAATTCTTACCGCTCTCCGTCCGGACTAGTTATAAAAACATGCAGCCCTGCAAATACACCTGCGGTGTCTTTTATGTGCCTGTAAAAATATTGATTCATTGTGTAACAATTTTGTGCGGTAAGCTTGTCCGCGGCAATATAATTGATGACAATAACCGCGTCTTTATATTGAAAAATTGAAGGACCTCTTCCCCAATGAGTTGGTGCAAAAACAATGGTGTCTCTGGCGCTGGTTTGCCTTGTCTGTTTTAGAAAGTTCTATCCGGGGACCGCGTCCCTCACAGGTAATATGTAAGTGTCATTATACATGATTTAACATCGTCGGCTTTCGCTTTTCTAAAATAATATTCTGTTTATCCAATCTGAACCTATTCCCGACGGGGAATGGCGTTTCATTTATTTATTGCAGATATTATTTTTGATCAGATTTTATGTCGCAAGGGACAATTTATTCACACTAGTCTGTCTGGTTGCCGAAACTGGTCTGTCAGTTCGTTGTGACAAGAAATATTAAGGAAAGTTTGCTGACAGTAAGATACGTTTCGGCCGCTTTACGCCCTCGTTCATTTTCCAGCGTTGGCCGTCGCGAGACACGTAATGAAATTTCATA